ACTCGTTAAAAAAGACAGATGCTTTGGCTTTTTCAGCAGAGGAATTTTAACAACAGTATTCTGAAAGGCACAAAAATTGTTATTACTAAATCCGGTCTTGGTCTTGTGTAGATGCTTGTAACCATCATGTTAACATACTCATTTCATACAGTTCTATATTGTTTCCACACAGCTAGTCTAAAAATCAATTTGCAAATCCTTATAAAACTATGGAATCAGTCTTTCAGTCCTTCATTTACATAATTACAAATATAGCCCGTTGAAGAGGATGTAATAACCACTGACTTCTTTTTTCAATGACAAATCAGCGCAGTATCTTTGAACGCGCCAAATTACCAACCGAATGCAACTCTCCTAATATGCGCCTTGAAATGAGCTCTATATTTATTTTTCCTTTAATTTAGTTTGCTATTCTGCCATTACCCAACCATACATGTCAGTTATAATCTAATTAGCTTGGAGATAGCCAAGCGAAGATACAATAACAGAGAAATAAATAAGTTTGTGGGGACAGAGGAGTGGGAGTTTCGGGTTGGGTGCACATGCAGTGTAGGAACAGATGACACCCATAATGAGTGTGGACACCCTCAGAAGCACCACTATTAACTATCTCATAAACAAAGGCTGACTCCGGCATAGCAATTTAAACTAATACAGTCCAGAGGGCATCGTTTATCACACAGGTTATAGGCTGTGGAGCTGTCAGCTGAGCACGGGCACACTACAGTATACAGGAGCAAACCTAAATGGAAGCAAAGCAGTAAAAGTAGTCTTGCTTTTTTCTGTACTTATCGGCTGTATGTGGTGTGTATTTCAGTTCTTTAAACAAAAAAAAAAGCTCAAATAAACTCAAATTTTCTCATTTTGTATCCCTCATTATTTGAGAGTTCAACAGTGTCCGCTCCTTATTGTTCATATAAGCTGTTTGAGGTTCATTATCCAACATGTAGCAGCTATTTCAGACAACTTAATACAGCGCTGACCCACACAAAGCAAACTCGCTCTTCCTTCTCTTGTTATGTTAGATAATGGTCACATTTTTATATATAACCCTTTTCCACCATCAAGGCACTCAAAGCTCTTTACATAAAGGAACCACTCACTCATTCACAGACACATTTATACACTAGTGTGCGCAGACAACTGGGGTGAGGTGGGTTAAGCGTCTTACCCAAGGACACAACAACAGCATTCATTTGTGGGAGCTGGAATCACACGGCCTACCTGTGTGTGTGTGTGATCTGACTACTCAACGAATGATGTTTAAGTCACGAGCAGGATTCGAATCGCCAACCTTCAGATCAGTGGACAACTGTTTTACTAACCGGGCTACTGTAATAATATACATCTGCAGTACTCTCAGCTGCACCGTGAGTGGTGTAAAGCATTGTTTCCCGAAGACTGGGATCCAAAGAGAGATTTTTTTTGGGTCGCCTTGTCACGATCTACATGTAGGTCTGCAATATACAGTTCTGACACATGTTGAAAAGTTAAGACATGTTTTGCGTAATTTCTAATGTTTTTGTGATTATTTTATTGACTATTTTGTTCCAAGATTGCTGGTTCAATTTAATGTTGAAAAGAAATAGAAATGGGCTACATTTACTGTCCAAATAGGTGACTTTTGGATACCTTTTATTGCTGGTTCAATTACTGTTTTTTATTGTTTAAAATCTGAGTAATAGCAATTGTTCAGAGAGACACAATCACTCAGTCAACAATAACATATTCTCATTAATGTTCAGTAATGGTCAAATCCACCTCTATTTTGTGATTTTTTAATAATGTCTATTGACTTGGGTCGTGAAGGTTTGTGACTTTTAGTTTGGGAAACACGAGTGTAAAGCAGAGGGAGTGTTCCACTGTGTGCCTGGTAAATGAGAGTTTGAATGAGAGTCCAGAGGGGTCGGCACTTGGGTCCGAACCCAAACTGCCCTCACCAGTTCAAACTATCTTTATACTATGAAGCACTTGATATGTCTTTTACTGTGAAATAGCTGCTTTTGGGTCCAGTGGAAAAGCTCCCTGGAATTCCAAGTCAAGTCACTAAACGTTGTCAGGCTGAATAATATCCATTAAGAACAGTTTTACCTATGTTAAGAATATTCTATTCACTGTGCACTGGGGTCTACTTAATAATGATACTACATAACATTTATATAGTGCTTTTCAAAACACTTCACACAGTTCAGTCAGTTCCACCATCACTGTCCAACTAGTAGTTAGTTATACATTATTTTCCTCCATAGGAATAATGAATAAATAATACAACTTTGACTTGATACAAAATGATAATAAATTATGCATTGTAAAGAAGAATTGTAAAGAATTTAAATGAATGCTTCCATTTCATAACTTTAGTCCATCTGTGATCTGAGCACATGCCTCGGAGTGGAGCTGGCTGTGTGGGGCGGTGTTAGCCTGATGTTCTCGCTCACGCAGGCTAAAGCTACACAGCTGAGACACCACAGGCTGCCAGACATCATTATCTCTCTCTGCTGTCTCCTCATGCACTTGATATTGGGCTAGTCTTCAGATTCTGGGGTTAGAGTCACACCTGCTCACCCACAGATAAAATAACTACATCGACTGGCTTTGCAAATAGTGTAGGACCTCCATCTTCAAATGCCACAAGCTTCTATGTACATTTACACTACTCTGCGGTTACCAGGGGACTATACCCTTAGCAACGGAGTCTTTGGGTCAGCTTTTGCAGAGTACAACAAAACACAGTCAAAGGTTTTCTGCCCACTGCTGTTTTAACAAAGTGAATAAGGAAAAAGAATACCTCCCTCGGGTGTCAATTTTGAGGATTTTGAAGAGTCGAGAAACTTTAAAGAAAGTGAAGTCAGGCCAAACACAATTTAAAAGATACTTTAGCTGCATGTTATCTCTGCATTTTGTGTGTGTACCAATCAGCCAATATAACGTTAATGTTACATCTTTCAACTTTAGTAAAATAGTTAGACGATACTTAAAAGCCAAAGTGGGCTGGCACCCATCTTGGCACATGATGTAAGCATCTCAGATTTTAGATCTCAACAAGATTATCAAATTACACATCATTCATTTTCACACCGGTGTTATCAGTCATCAACAACAACAACAACAACAACAAATACCTACTAGAAAATATACAAAATTGCTAGAGTTATAAAATGTATAATTTTCTAGAGGATGAATCTTTAAAAACATTTAAAAACAATGCCATGTTAAAAATAGTTTAAAGTATGGGGTTTTAAAGGATAGAAAAAAATTTAACTCTCATCGAGGACTGGAAACTGGCTAGCCTTCAGAGTATAAAATATAGACTCTCTCTGAACAAGTTTTTTTCAGTCTATCTCCTCTTATTTTGAACATTTTCAGTGCTTCATTTTTTTATCTTGGTATTTGAGAGTGGTCCCTATACAGTACTAAAGAGCACCAAAAGGACAATTTTGCTCTCTACACATCCAAGTAGCACTCCTTCCCCCTAAATGTTTGCATTATACAAATGTATTTGCACCCTTTTATTTGAGGATAGCCCGTCTGTTGTTCCAAAGTCATAGATAAGGAGTGCCTGTAAAATCTGGGAAGAATACATTTCTGTTGAATCCTCTTGCACTGTGCAAAACTACAATAACTAAAAGTACCTTTTGAGAAGCTTAATAATTGAATGTCCATTGTTTTAATACACTGTGAATTATTGTAAGTCTCTAAGAAATCAGAGAGAAAGAAAGAGAGAGAGAAAAAAAATTGTTCAACATTTCTCTATACAGCCTCTATTCCAGTAACTACAATGAAAGCTTTTCGCACATTCAGTCTCACTTCAAAAACCCAAATTCTCACAAAGATACAATGTAAAAACGCACAGAGGCACCAGGCACAGAGCAGCCAGGAAAAGTGCTTTATAGCTTCTTTCTGACTTCCTTTTCGCACCATTTTGTTGGAACAAAAGCCTTGTGAAGACACTAAAAGCTTTACCTTAAACTACCATCTGAACCTTGGGGCGGGTTTTCGTTTCTGTAAAAAGAATATGAAAAGAGCCCTTTCTTTTGTATTGCATTTTAGTACAATAAGTCGTTTCCGCCATATGGCTTTGAGGAGTTTCTTTACCACAAACAGATGAAAACATGGACTTGTGCTGAGGCTTCCAGGTGGAGGCAGCAGATGTATTTGATGAAACATGTTGGCAGAGCAGACAAACTTGCTCAGTAATTGATAAAGACACACAAATAGAACAACTTTCAATCAGAGCGAAGCTGTTATCAAGACTCAGCGCTGTCAACTTAAGCATCGCCATCCATCACACTACAAGCTTATCGGCAGCAGGACATTTTTCTTCTCTTTGAAATTGGATTAAATCCCCTAGAAACCACACAGTGAACGTGACAGAGAGGGCTCATCGCTGCAGACTCCTATTACATACATCTACTCTGATAACATCCAACACAGAGGAACAGCTGAACACGAGTACATGCAAGAGCAGATAATGCTGTGTGCAAAGACATACAGTTGAATCAATCAGTGTAATCAAATTAGACATGCTACATAATACTCCACTTATTGCAGTAACAGTAGTCAATGTGTCAATGTAGAAGAAGTACCAGCAAATCATGGGGCATACTGTTAAATACTTGGCTGTTACATTATTCTTCCACTTTGGACTTATCTTTTCTATGTCACTTCAAATTCATCAGTAATATGGAATCATTACACATCCACAGCAATGTAATATTAAGTCTATACATGTCTTTGTTTTGTATTCATTGAACATTTAAACAATGCATTGTCATATAAATCATATTAAAGAGCATCTGAAAAAAACACCTCTTCAATTGGTTAATAGGTTTAGCAGAGAATGATTGGTGTAATTTGCACTTTCTCTAACTTGTCTCTCTAACCAATGTCACCTTTGAGTCTCAGTCTAAAAGTAAAATAATAACTTCACATGACAGACAGCGTGAGGTGCCCTACGACCTGGCTCAGACGGTGCTGAGTTCTGATTGGTCGAGACTCACCTGAGGGGTTGAGCAGTCTCCAGGTGATGATGGGGTCTGGTCTGCCGCTGGCCAAACAGCTGAGCGTGACGTTACTGCCCTCGTTCACGATCACGTCCTCGGACACTTTGTAGATACTGGCCGGAACTGTGGACACAACACAGGGCACTGGGATTAGAGGAATATTTGACATTTTCCAACAAACAAATATAAAATTACAGATACACTTCTAAAAAAAACAAAGCGATTACAATTTCACAGAAAATACAAAGGATTGTGGTTAATGTGGAAATGTCAACAACTTTTGTTTTGTTTTTAGAGCAACTGTCATTCCTCATTCAATATCAACTTATCAAAAAGGTTAACATTTTAATGTTCAATTTGTGTGCTTTGCAGCTAACACTAGATTAGATAGTGGTGACAATATGTTTTTTTGTAATCAAAATAAATGCAAAATATTTGTGCATTCATACTGAGACATAGAAGTTACAATTTAAATACACCAACCCTTAAAGGTTGTATGGAGGATTTTTTTTTTGTTTTTTTTGTTTCAAGTTGTCAATGATAGCATTATAGAGGTGCAGTAGCCTTGTAATTATGATGACCAAAAAAAAGAGAATAAAAATTCATCAACTCTGGACGTGGTGGGGCTAAACATTTGCCAATAGATAACGACATTGCCTCGTTATCTGTTAGCTGACAGGCTATCAATCAAACTCCCTACGTTTCTAGCGTAACTGACCTGCCTGCGCGCCGCCGGTACGTGGTTTACGTACGCCTGTCACGCAGTCCACAGACGCAAGATGCACAGACGCTGTTTACTCCACCAACGCAACAGTTCTTAGCGGCTTTTTTTGACCTATATCTTCCTCGCAGTTAGCACAAAGTTTGTTGCAATGGCAGACAAGAATCCAGGAGCAGTTAGCCGCAAAAGAAAGTCCGTTTTTGAGGTCGCTGAAAGAAGAAGACAAGGGGAAAAGCAGCGAAGCCAAACTAAGGTGATTCTTGTAGATTCATTCCAGCGATGGCGCGACTGAAGCAGACGCAGGGTCTAAAGACTGACGCATTGGTCGCCAAATTACTCCTGGACAGGTAACTTCTGCTTATTATGAAAACGTACTTTATTTCCAAGAGCTAGTCAAACGTTTTTCAGGACACGAAAGCGATATCCTATGTCTGAAAACGTAATTTTCAAGGCAAAGAAAGAGTCCGCTTGCTGCTGCGTGTTGTAGCTAGTTCATTCGCACTGAATCTCCGCGCAACCTTCTCTGCTCCCCTTTCCTGCTCCTGTCCCCGCTGCCCGTTCCGCTCTTCCCCCTTCTTCTCACTTCTCCGGGCACGGAATCTCCGCGCACCGCTCCCCTCTCCTCTCTCCTCTCTCCTCTCTCCCTGCTCCGCTCTTCTCCCTGCTCCTCACTTCTCGTCCGCGAACGAAATGTCCGCACACCCGCTCCCCCCGCTCCTCACTTCTCCGCCTTGCCTAACCAACACTGTAGTTAGTTGTTTACAAGTCATGTGCAGCTCACCGGCTGTAAACAAACCTGTTTCTGGCGTAGTGAGGAGGCGGGAGAAGGCGTTTCTACGTAGGGAGCTGTAGGGGAGGGGGGTGGTTTCACGCATGCGCAACATTTGAAAAAGGACAAACAGTCGCTGGATTTCTCGTTCCTTGGAAAATCCTCTATACAACCCTTAATGGCAATATGTAACTTTTCTGGTGAAAGTCCACCACCTGCATGTATCCAGAGAGATATCATTACATGAGAGTGGCATATAAACGTATTTATCTGATGTGTTGTGTGGATTTTTATTGGCAGAATAACAGCACCTGATATGTGTCTGATGTGTTACATGTGTGCATTTGTGTTCTATCTGCCGAAGTGCTCGTCTCCTGGCCACTGATCCATATATCCCTTCCTCGCTCCTTTCAGGGAGGACATCTGAATCTCTCGCAAGCATTCGTAGCCACTTCCATTGACCATTCAGACCACCGCGTGCATGTATCTATGTGCATAAACAGGTCCAGTCCTCACGCACAAACTCTTGAAACAGCGAGAAAACAATATCTGACCATATCTGCAAAGATGCACTGCCTAAATATTATGATGTGTAAGCACTATAATGCAATTTAGCCTGTCATTCATTTTTTATTATTATATATTTAATTAAGAGATGAGTCGTTGCTGTCACTTTTAGTTTTGTGTTTGTTTGTAAAACCTTTTTAAGATTTTGATGACCACGTGGTGCTGCGTGGAGAGTCTCCCCCTCCCACATTATGCTGGAGCATGGTCTGGGGTTTGTTGCTTTGTTTTTCCCCTCCCCCTCCTCTCCTCATGTTATGCACTATTGTTTTTCTTAAAGGTGCACCTGAGATAAGGCTGCGATACCTGAATTCCCCCTTCGTGGGGATCAGTATTTATCTATCTAGCTATCTCTCTGTGTCCCGTGTGTTTCAGTCAAACCCACTGATTATGGGCTCATGTTTAGGTAAATGTCATTCACGAGTCCTTTTATGTAGAAGTGGAGGTGTGGAGAGGATGTGATGGGTGTTCACGTGCAGAGTCTAGCTGCAGGTGGGATCTATGCACAGATTGTGTGGAGAGTTTCAGAGTTTGTGTGGCGCACGCCTCTGGTGGCCAGTAGGAGCTTAGGAAAAAGTCCCACGCATCTTTATAAAAGAGCCCCTAGATCTTTGGAGAGTCAAGCATGTTCACAGTATATGTTTTTCAAGGTATTTTTGAGCAGTAATTGGATAAAAGCAACATATATAAATGTACTGCCTTACATTATGGGCAAAGCAAAACATCTCCAAGGAGACAAACAGGTGAAGAATCAGGAGAAAAAAGTACACAGTGCACCTTTAAAAGACCTTATTTCACTTTCACAATAAATCGTACGCAACACTTGCAATCTTCTCTTGTTTTTCAGTCTATTATTTATTGCCACGGCTTGGTTTGTGCACAGATCAAAGAAAAGTACTTTTCTCCAAGTGTTAAGTAAATGGATGTGCGAACCAAGATTTAAACTCTTAGCAGTGAATTTCAAACAGATCTGGCGACCCATTTTGCCACACTATTACATCTTTTAGAGGCACTTAGTCTAAAAACTTTCACGAGCAGGGTTCCAAATAAGCAATTTAATCTCCTGCCCTGGTAGCAAGCTTATGAAAAAGGATCGCCCCCCATGTCACTTGAGAAGTAGTCTCTGATAAATGACAACTATATCTTTTTTTTTTCTTTTTAATGTTCAAAGGTACACGCAGCACCATTTCATCTCTACATTTTAATGACTGCTCTGCCCGGCTGTCTCCATGTCAACAAACACATAAACAAACTACACCTGGAAAAAGTGAAGGAGAAATAGCCACATGAATTAAGATGCTAGCGCTAAAGCAAGTCAGCAGCTCTCAGGCAATCTGTCACAAAGCATACAGAGGCATACATCACTGTTGCCATTAGCCATAAGTAAATGGTGCTGGATAATGTATTCAGATGGAGAAGGCAGAAAATACACGAGTGATGTATGGCAGGGGAATATGATGAATACTGTGAAAACATAATGTAAGCAAACAAGAGTGACTGTGTAGTTAGAAGGAGAATTTAAAATGATATTGGTCAAAATAGCATCGTAACTTGGGAGAAGAGCTAGTATATCAAGCCCACTGAGTTTAGACTTGGACATAGGCTGTGTCCAAATGTCCACCCTAACCCCAGACTTCTCATTTACTACATAGGCCGCCATAGGAATGTAACAATATCCAAATCTCTCAGTACAATATTGTCACAATATACATCTCATGGTACGATATTTATTGCAATATTTTGTGGAGGCTAACTAAACTGTGAATATGCTTCTTTTTCCTCTTAAAATGCCTTGAAAAGACTTAATCCAAAGAATTATGATTTCAAGGTGCTTAGAAGATAGCTGCACTGAAATGGAGCAAAGGATCATGGTCTATGTAGTTCCATTTGTGTTTTTTTTTAGCTATTGCTGCACCATAACTATTAATTTAAGCAAAGAGACTTATGACTTGATATATTGTGATGGTCCACGATATTATTGTGAGACTACTGACAATACAATTGCAATATTTTGGTTGTTGTTACACCTCTACTATATAATGCACACACCTCACTATTTTTGGGTCACATGACTCTGGTATCAGGATGGAAAAAAAAGAATCAAGCTGGCACCCAAGTATATATGGACTAATAACAATCATATACATTTTGTCACTCTGAATCATACGCAAACTGGATGCTTTATTTGATTTTTGTCTGTGATGCGGAAACGATCAATCTTTTAACAGCTCAAACTGAGGTAAGTTGTAAATTAAAATTAAACTAACTGCACCTTTTTGAGCCACCTAATTTCTCCAATGTAGCAGTGAACGCTACATTGGAGAAACAAAACAGTTACTTCACAAGAGGATGTACCAACACAGACGAGAGAGCAGCAGTGGACCTCAGTCTGCCGTACATCTCCACTTAAAAGACACGGGCCACTAATTTGAGGACAGTGAGGTACAGATCCTAGCCAGAGAAAAGAATTGATTTGAGAGGGGAGTTAAAGAAGCTATTTGTGTTAAGAAAGAGAATCCTTCTCTAAACAGAAACAGAGGCCTCAGACATCATTTGTCTCCTATTTACAACTCCATCCTCAAACTTCAATCAAAATAAACAAGAGAACAATAGGTGTAGCCAGATCAGGTCCAGAGGTGTGAAAGTTCCATTATGGCCCTGAATGATTATACTAATAAGACCCCACACTCACTGTCTAGCAATAGGCCTAGCTAATTAACAGAAACTGTAAACAAGTAGGTGCGTTAGTTTAAGAGTAGTTATTTAGCCCCTCGTTGTAGGCAGATATAAGGAAGTGTCCACCAACATTCTGACCAAAACTGAAGAAGCAGCTTGGATGAGCTGCAAAAAATATTCGACTTTTGTCCAGTCAACAAATTGAATTTCTCCTTTGCCATGGATTCTACCTGGACGATTAAGGGATTTTTCACACACCTAATTTGTGTGAAATGATTCAACCATTTCCAAGGTTCAAAAGAACACGGTGGCAGAGTGGTTAGCTCCAGCTCTCTTCAGACAATAATACAAATAAAATTAAGATTAACTTAAACAAATCATAAAAATATAACG